TAACCACAGGTTGAGTCATTTGGTCTGCTGTGGACTGCAAGTATTTCTTACTCTTACAGTATTTCTGGAGCATCCTAAAGTGGATGTATGGACAGCAATCAACAAATAAATGAAGCTCAATAAAAGTTACAAACTCAAATAGTTTGAAGGACTCTCTTTTCACTATCATTTCAAACATTTTGTTCATAATGGGAAAATACTTTTGGCAGTAATATGAGAATGTTATAACCTTCAAGTTGTAAAGTATGAGCTGTGTCGGCTTGCTTCCAGCCCTCGACAGTGACACTGTCTCCCATTTAAGAGGCCTGGTTAGCATTAGCTTCATGGTAAATAAGCATGGCTTCAGGAACTAGACAACGACAGCTTTCAAATTAAGTCTCCTTCATGCATTTTGGCCTCACTGTTCTTCTGTCAAACAATTTCCAGTTGCATAGGTGAAAACTTCACGTAAAGGAGTAATTTGAGTTTAACCCCAGCCCTTGCCTTCAACCCTAAAAAGCTCAACTGGTGGACACTACAAGGCTAAAATCTGTCTTTAATAATTACAGTGTTGCTTGTCTATAACACCTTTCTATCACCATGACCTTCCTATGACACTAAAGTCTGGGTACTGCGATAAGGTCTATACCAACAAGCATCTCTCCGTATTTGCTAAGTGTTAAAGGGACAAATCAACTCTGTGCTGTTAAACTTCTGTTTGGGGTTTAACTGTAAAAGCAGTCCGGTTTTTGACATGTCAGATGCAAGTGTACTCAGTGGATCAAGTTCATTCAGCATAGGTGCAATTGCAGCCAACTTATTTTAAGAGCAGCTTGTCTCTTCTCTTAAAACTTGAATGACTGACCCAACCGATGGAAGTAAGCGCTAATGAATAAACCGAACTGTCATTCCCAGCGAGCCACGAGACACTGAGTGAGAATCTCCACAAAGCTGCATGGGTCACAATAAGGAGATAAAGTGCTGAGAGACTCACAGGCGCTGAGCCCTTCTTGATGATTACACTGGGTGTGGTTGCCCTCAGTGCCCCAGTGACACCGTGGTAGTACCTGAAGCAGACCTGGGTCTCAGCTGTGGAGAAAAAAATGGGATTAATGATGATGGGGAAAAAACACACAATGCATAAAATACAATACAAGATATATGAATAGAATCTGGTAGTGATGGTTGCTGCAGAAGGATTTAAAAACATATTTAATTCCAATCAGAGAGATGATCTAACAGGTGTTTTTAAATGAATCACAAAATTACATTCAATTTCCAGTTGTACATGGTCATTTATTGGAGATAACTATAACATCTTGCAGCAGAGGGTTGTAGATTTTGGCTCAGCTTCAGGAGAAGAGATGGGGAGCACATGTGCTCCCAGTCTAATCAACCTCTTCCCTTTAAGGCAGGGGTGTCCAACTCCAGGCCTCTAAAAC